AAGAAAAGGTCTAAATCAGCAGGGGAAGTGGGAGGGGTGGGGGAAAGGAAAAAAGGGAAAAGAAAAAATATGAGAAAAGGAAAAAAAATGGAAACAAAGTTTTTGCAAATAGGGAAGGGTAGAAGGGGTGAAGGGAGGGCAGAGGAAGGGGAATAAGAACCAAGATACATCATGTACAGGTACAAGATCCCAATGATGTGAATGTAACTGTATTTTATACCTAAAATGTACCAATAAACTTAATGGGGGAAAAAAAATAAAGGACTCTCAAAGAAAAAATTAAATTAAATTAAATCGAATAACAGAAACCTTCATCTTAAATCAAAAACCTTACCAAATCTGAAACTGAAGAACTGTTCTTCTAGCCTTAGTTTTTGTTAGTTACATTGGTGGTGACCTATTTGTCCTCTCTAGAAACTCCTTCATTCTTTCCTTTCCTTCCTTTCCCTCTCTGTCTCAGAATGCATATTCACACTCAGACCTTTTACTTAGTTTTATATAACTGCATTTGTGAAAAGACTCAAGTCCCTTCTGACCTTTTTGACTTTACTTTAGGTCCTTGGCCTCTGTTATGGTTGTGCTCCTTCACCTCCCATTTTATTTTCACTTGCTGCTAGGATTGTCCTTACATTTTTTCACGTAAAGTGCACATTTTAAGGGCTGGGTGGCTGCTCTAACATCACCAGGGGCTCAGATTCATTCTTTCTCTTGCAGCATCCTTAGCAAGTGGTTTCCTCTCTAAGGATGCCTTATGGTCCATGATTCCACTGGAACCCTGGCTGTCTCCTCTGCTTTTTGTCAACTGATGAAGAGTAAGAGTCTCTTGAGTAATCTAAGAGTAATCAGTCTCCTGCCAAGAGCCTTCTAGGGGTTCCAACCCAGTGATTTGGCCATCACCAGCTATTGGGGAGGCTGGAAAAACCTTTTAACAGGGCATTTGGTTTTTAGAAAATGGACAGATTTGAGGTAGAAACTAGCAGGATTTGCCATAACTGTGTTCAGCTGCTGAGATGCTGTCATGGTTCCAATTTACCACCCACTTTTTATGCTTCCTCCCCTTATTTTTTGTGCTGAAGTCGAACACAGGGCTTTATGCTTGCTAAGTACTTCCTCTACCACTGAGCTTCACCCTCACCTGCTTTCTGACTTTTCCATATGCTTTTGTGCCTTCCTTTCTAGCTAATCTCCTACTTGTTCTGAAAGATTGAATTAATTGTAAACTCTCAGATATAATTAAATATAACTCCTAGGTGCAGAAAGAATTCCTCCCGCTGCATTTCCTCATGCACTTCACTAAGAAGTTGTTGTATACAAATCAGAAAAAAATAAAATACAAAACTTCCCTGGTAAAAGTCTGTCATGTTTAATTCTCCTTGTTTTTTTAACCAAGAAACTTGACATTTTGCTATATATTCTAAACCTTAAATATTATCTTTTAAAGGTTCATTGCGTCAAAGAAGAAACATCAAGATACTGTGGTAAAGAAGAGGATTTGATGAAAGCGTATTTATTCAGGTAAAAGTTTTGAGTGTGATATACAAATACAAAGTTATATTCTCGAATATTCAGGTATATAAAACATCACTAAGCCACAGTAAAGTTGGATTTAGTAGTCTAGTAGTGAAATTTAGCAAGAAGTCTAAGCTGTTCACTTGCTACCTAACCTCTCTGAACTTTTAACTTCCGTGCTTACAAAATAATGAAGACATGGGGCCAGGGATTTAGCTCAGTGGTTTTGCTGCCTGTTGCGCAAGTGCAAGGACGAATTTGATCCCCGGTACCAAAAAAAACCAAACCAAAACAAAACAATCAAAATAATGAAGACAAAAATTACCTCACAGGGTCATTTTGACTGTTACATGAGCGTCATACATAAATTCCTACTATAAGAGCCTGCTTAAGTAAGCACTTAGCAAATTTCATGTTCCAAGTAGCTATGTCAGTTCTATATTTGGATGTACCCTATTTTTGAGGAATCTGTCGGTGTCTAGGTTGCAGCTTCTTCAGTACTTGGGTCTTCTGATCTATTTGGGGAATCTCTCATCCTTTCCCCAAGCCCTTGGGGCTTGGCCTAGGAAGTGGAGATAGACCCTGTTTGCTCAGGGAGTTCCTGCTAAGGACACTTGCTTCTCCCGCTCCTCTCCTTCCAACCCAGTTTGGGAATCTGTGTGTGATTGGAAAGTAGTTAGGAGGCCTAGTTAGACTCATCTTGATTTCCAGTCTTTTTTGCCAGATCCAGTGCCTAAACTTCTCAAAACCAACATATTTATCGAGTGTATATTCAATAAATATTTGAGGGTGCATTATGTGCCAGTGCTCCACTTGGTGCATAGGGTTCGTGGATAAGACACGGGCTCTAACATCAAAGAGCTTATAATTTAATGTGTTAGATGAGCAAGTAAATTGAATTTTAAGGAAATATTTCTATAATGTGTTTTTAAACTTTTTGCAGAGGAAACATTTTGCTCAGAGAATTCCCGACTGACACCTTGTTTGATGTGAATGCCATTGTCGCTCATGTACTCTTGTAAGTACTCATTTACTTAATCATTATTGCTTTCACTTTAGAGGACCACAACCCATTATAATATTTTAAGGTTTCAACATTGTATTTGTAGGCATCAGTTTCATACATATTGCTGGTATATCTTCCCACATTGAAGATCGAAAATTTGCTTCATGACAAAGGATACAAGAACACATAGGTACTCTGTGTAGAAGTAGAAAACTTCTGTTTGGGTTGCCGCAGACTGGGTGGCTTGTAAACAGTGAAAATCTATTTTTCACAGTTCTGGAACTGGGAAGTCCAAGGTTAAGGCATTGACAGATTTGGTACCAGACGCGAGCCTCTGCTTCATGGTGTGAGGCATCTTCTCCTTGTGTCCTCACATGGTAGAAAGACCTGGATCTCTGGGGACTCCTTTATAAGGGTAGAAGTCTCATGGCTAATCAGTTCCTGGGGCTCCCACCTCCCAGTACCATCATTTAGGGGTTAGGACTTCAGAATAGGACTTTAGGAGAATGCACACATCTACAGCACCAGGTAGGAAGCTCATCTTTGCTGTTTACATTAGGGTTGTGAAGTGCTTGGTTTCCGTCTGACACTTGCCTGACTTTTCGAGTCTGTAGCTCTGTGTCTTCTTGTAAGTGCAGAAAAAATTCTTATACTTCCAGCATACACTTGAATTTTTTTTTCCAAAGAATTAATCTCACATTCTCCTGCCATGAAATCTTTACATCCAGGATTCAGGCTTGTGTGAGCTCTGTTTGTGCAGTCTGCTTCAAAATGAAGTCTGGTGTTCTCTTTGATGGCAAAGCTAGACAGTGTGTCTGTTTAAGGACACAAGTTTACAGGGGCTTGACTGATTTAATGTTGTAGGTCTGTTGTCCACTAAGACCTTTGCTGACATTTCTTATCTTTGTTTTCTGTTTGGCTCCACACTTCCTTCTCTCCTACCCATAAAATTTGAGTGAAAATTAAGTTACAGGAAATTCAAAACTTAGAGGTGAAAAGTTCTGGTAATCACTTTACAAATGAACACTTTTAAATATTCTAGTCCTAGGGCCAGGGATTTAGCTCAGTGGTTCTGCCTCCTGCCTTGCAAGTGCAAGGTCCCAAGTTTGATTCCTGGTATCAAAAACAAAAAAAGGTGTTTAGGAATTCTTGGAAACCATGGGCCCTAAGACATATAGACTTAAGAAGCCAGGTGTACTGGGTGAAAGGTGGCTTTTTGGCTGCTTTGAAATCCCTTTCCTAGGACAGAGAAGGGGTGGCTCTCTTGACCATAGGGGTCAAGTGAAGCTTAGCAAAAAACCCAAGTAATAACTATGTTATTTGTTCTCAGGAACTTTATTGGTTTTGCTGTTTTTTCTGGTAGATATTTGGTAGCTGTCTTTGACCCAGAAATGAGGGTGAAGAAACATGGAGCGAAGACTTTGAGGGATGGCGTACATTGAGATTATCTTCCCATAAAGTATGAATCCAGGTTTGACACCAAATCCCAGAGTGGCAGATCCACCTTGGACAACTTTAAGAGCAGCTGGTTAAAACAGCTGGACCCTAGATAAGGATGGGCCGTCAGTGGTGAGGACCTTGTTACATGAACTGGTTAGGTGGACTTTGTCCAATGTGTTCCTGCTGTAGTCATGGCCTGTTACTAGTGTGTACTAGTGCTGATGTATGGAACACAAGTTTCCATAAGTAGATGTTCTCCTTGTTCCAGCTGTGTGTCAGACACTTGTTAGGCATTGGGACGCAAACAATAGGATGGGGCTTCTGTTCTTTAGGAATTTAGTGTTTTGTTGCAGAGATAGACAGAAGTCTATGTTAAGTCAAGTAGTAGAGAGATGTATTCATAATGGCCAGTGGATCCACAGAGAAAATAGTTATTCATGTCTAGAAAGAAGGTAGCTTCCTTAAGGAGATAGGTCTCAGGAGAAGTGTGTGGCAAAGAAAGGGAAGGTTCGAAAAGCAGGGGAAACTGGCAAGAGCGTGGAAGTTGGAAATAGTTTGGAGAGGTTAGTTTTATCTGAGTATAAAATGTGCAGGAGGAGATGAGCGAGGAAAGTGTGAGGTCAGATGAAGGGGCATCTCTGTTTACCCTTTGTAGAGCTATGGGCTTTTGGGTAGCCCAGAAGGGGAAGGTGTCCATTTCCAGAGCAGAATCCTTGCGTGATCTTTCAGTTCTAATCATAGGCAATAACAAGATTTGCCTAGCAGGCCTTAGTGGCAAGCTGTTCTTGCCTTGCCAGACTTGGTGCACAGCCAATGCATTGAGGCTTTTTGGAGATAATTGAGGTCAAGGACATGGCCCTACCCCCCACCCCCAGCCCTTTAAACCAGCCTGGCTCATATTCAGAGCTCAGGTGGAGCATTCTGAGGCCTCCTTACTCAGACCTTGGCCATAGTGCCTCCCGGGTGCTTCTGCTAAGGACTTGTTATCAGGGTTCTCTGGTGGAGACATTTCTCTCTGAGTCAGTACCTTTCTATTCCAAACCCTTACTCTTTTTCTTTTTTTCTCCACAATGTCCATTGGTTCTTAAGGATGCATGGATCTTATGTTTGGAACTCCTGGGAATGAGATATGATTCCTTGTTTCTGCATTACATATACCCAACCCTTGCCTGCTGCCATTCCATGGGGTAAAAAATGGACCAGTGTGGAGCTGGTACCTCTCTTTAGGTCTTGTTTGTATTGTCACGTAAGTGAATAAAGTGTTTTTTTTTTTTTAAGTTTAGCTAATGATCAAACCCAGGACCTCCTTTGTGCTTTACCACTGAGCTACACCCAGCCCTGAATAAAGTCTCAGTTGTTACTTTTAGTTTGGCTTGTTGTGGTCCTAACTGAGACTTTAAACCCTGATTGCTTGACAAAGGTTGTGTTTAGGCAGGCTCCTGTTATGATCAGATTAGGATCTGAGAGCTCTTTCTCATGGATGTGAGACAGATTTAGGGACCCAAGCACATGTCAAACCTCTATGTGGCTGTTGGATAATCTAGGGTGGTAGAGGTAGTGGAGGAGGGATTTTCAGTGCTTAGATGGTAAAATTAACTGGATTTGGTAATAGTAAATTTGGTAATAGCACAACTGCAAACTTGACTTAATACTTGATCTCTTTTCCTTTTCCCTACTTCATGCTAACCCAGATCCAATCTGATCACCATTGGAAGTAGGCAAGGAAGAAGAGCAGATTCACAGAGGAAGCCGTAGGAAGTGGAGCCTCTGAGGGGTGCACATCTAGGTGTTGCCCACATATAGGGAATCCACGGAGCTTCCTAGGGCAATGCCACTTACAGGAAGAACAAACTGAGAGGGGAAAACAATAAATGTCAAGGTAGTCAAATCCAAAGAGGCAGTGCCTTTTTGTTCAGAATATAAGAAAATAACATGTGGAATACAGCATTTAACGAAAATTCTTACTAACAATATTTAGAATATTGAAGAACTGGGCCAAATAGCTTGCTGTGTCATAGCTGTACTTTGCAACTGCCATGACCAAAGAAATGCCTTTCAATTTATTTTCCTACTTGTGTGTGCTAAAACCATGAGTTTGAAACAGTGCTTGGCAAGTGATTTCTGTCTTGTACTCATTTACAGTTGTATTCTGTTCATAGTAATGGAATTGAACTCTTGGATATCTTTTGCTCATTTTTTCTATTGTTTTAAACTTTATTATTATCAATTTCTATGTATAAAAGAAGATACACAATTTCAGTTTCCCTAATGTGTTCTTTTTAAAAATAGGTGGTCAAATTTATCTTCTTTGACTTCTAGATTTTTAGTTGTACACGTACAGTGGTTTCTCTTATGCCATTATTATAAAGAAATTTACCGATTTGTTGGAGTTTTTTTTTCATTAAGTTTATTGGTACATTTTAGATATAAAATACAGTTACATTCATCATTGGGATCTTGTACCTTTACATGAGTATCTTGGCTATTTTTTCCCCTTCCCCTGCCCTCCCTTCACCCCCTCCACCCTTCCCTATTTGCAAAGACTTT